TGTGTGTAACTCGCTCATCGATTGCTTGTGTGTGTGTGTACATTAGCCATAGGGATCTTTTGTGGCGGTCGTAAGTGTATGACAAATAAGGGAGACTATCGACATTAGAAAGTCTGTGCTCTATGCGTTTGTATTAGTGAGGACTCACATTTTTTTTATTTTTTTCGGTACTTTTGGGTCAGCCACACCATGCGTGTGTGTCTCAGTTACCGTCAAACATAGTCAACAGGACCGTCAAGGCATCGTGCAAGAAACTCTATCGTCAGTCCACGTGAAGTCTTTGTGGGGTGAACACACTCAGCACTCGCAAAGAACAACACAATACAGCTACACAAATAATTTGTAACAAAACTGAACCACAACATAAAAAAACAAACAAAACAAACTGTGAAGTTTACTAAAATAAAACTGAAAAGTGATTACAGATCCCAAAAACGAAGTTGTAATATATTTTTATTAAAACAACTATCCCAAATATAAGAAAGAAAACTGTGTAAAATAGTGCAAACTAATATTGATCAAAGACATCTTTCATTTGTATCGCGAGTATCGTGACCGTTTATGCAAAATGTACACCAAAATGCTTTCGATGAGCGAGGATCAAGGATTTCGTTCTCTGAGTCGTAAGTTTCCGTTTTTCGATAACAAAGTTTCGAAATTGTATCATAAAAATTTAAAATAAACGAATGTGACTATATGTATGTGAGCGTTAAAAAGTTCAAACTTATTGCGGGTTAGGAAGCCTTTAGGCCCATACCCTTCTCAGTACGATAAAACAATTATTATCTGAGTCGACGTAAGCTAATTTGTTTACATTCCATACGAGTGTATGTGTTTGCCCAATGACCATTCGTAATGAATTCAGGGCATTGGAATAACTGAGTTCACAATAGTGTCTTATCAGGTAAAACAGTGAATACACATTGTCGCTTAGTGTATCGTGACGTTGCGAGCACCCTCTCCATATAGCTTTGCTTCTACAGCTATCATTGTATCGCAAAGCTGACTATTTGCATAAGACTTGTCAGCTGTATGCGGGTGGTGTTATCTGTGCCATTTGGTTTGGACGCAACGGTTCGCTTCAAGCAGACACACACACAAGAATATTGTCATATCGCAAAGGTGTTTAACCCAAATATCCAAGCCCACGTATGGGCGAGATGGGACATATGCCTGCCCCTGATATGCTTAAATATTCTACAAACCCACATGCCTGATAAGAACGGTGCAAATAGCCCTCTGTTGGACGGGGGCTATGGGAAGTTTCAATCGGAACTCTCATTATCAGTAAAAAGTGTAGCGTGTAAAGTGCCTTGATCAGAGCCATAACCCCTCTCTGGATTAGCAAGTCAATGAATTGGGACGATCCAACTGTTCATTCATTATTGTAGTATTATTTGGATTTCTGAATGGCGTCAAAAATATCCTAAAGGGTCAGTAGAAATTTTACCTTGGGAATTGTGGTTAAGCTTTCGAAAACGGACTAGGCTTGTGATATTGTTAATGACACTGTCCCAATTTCAGCTAACAAACGAGTGTTTAAACTCTGGGCCGCTATGGCAAATATTTGCACAGTCGTTTTTTATCCATTTGGTTCGTACGGTCGTTTTCGGGCAGGGGGAGAATTCAACGTCCGTCTCTTAGTGTTTTTAGATAACCTTAATATTTTGTTATTATTTTGTTGTTCGACTGGTGTGTATTTGTTAAGACAACAATAAAATACGTCGTTTAAATATGGGATCTGGCCAAATAGTAAATAAGACAAATGACTTTTCTGGTCATGTGCGTAAATGTGTGTGCGTGACAGAGACTACACGAATACACAAACGATGTATATATAATTCATGTGTGTAGTTTATTCTCACCGGCCTAGAAACAATACATATTCTGCTTTCTTATCTCCATCACTTACTCAATTCTGTCTAAAACGATTGACGTACCCAAGTACGTGGAGTAATTAGCAGTGGTCCATTTTATAAAGACAACAATATCATAATCTCTGACAGCATCCAAAAAAAATGCCTCGTAGCAATGAAATTTGGTGCCTTGGTAAGTAGCTGATGGTAAATATTCGTAATTGGGCGCCAGTGTGCAATAAGAATCGCTCACGACTGAATGTAATGTGTCCAACATAAAGTCACAGACATAAATTACTCTTTGCTTGCCAAAAACAGCGAGTATGGTCTGATTACGGCACACTATTAATATGCTAATAGGGTTGCTGCCTCAGATGAAACTCTGTCGACTATCGATGCGAAACACATCGATACACATTAGTTGCAACCTTCCACCACTCGCAGCCCTTTACGATTGTCATAGGGATTTGGATAATAAGTGTGTATTCATATTTCCATATGAAATGGAAATGGACAACTTGCGAGGCCAGCAGATGACAGATTCTGTGCCGAATCATACGCAACTCATATCGTACATTCGTTGAATTAAGAACAGATATTGAACAGTTATCCAGCAAACAATGACGAAATAACAAAATCTCAGTAATCGTTGCTAATATCACGCATTTGAAGGGCCGTAACAAATGTTTCAATGGAAACAAAAGTTACTGGCGATGAGATGAGGGTGAAAGAGTTGATGATTTCATCACAATTCAATGTGGTACTGCAGTTTGGGAATTGCGGCGCTAAAGAGTTAAGTGGCCAGCTGACACTTGACATTTGCCCAAAGCCATCAAACATCAGCTGCGGTTGGCACATTTATTGGCAACAATGAAACGATCTGACATTTAGGTCTCTTGCTGCTGAGCGACAAGGGATATATTGCCGCCCTTATGGGCAGTTGGTAGGTGGTTACGTTTGCTTGTCATTTTACCTGTTCATTATAGCTTCCTATATTCCCTCGCACCACTAGCCAATCAAAGTGGTTGCCCACACGACCATATGCAACAACAATAACCTACTAAGCCGGTCATTGGTCAGAATACCACTTTAAGTGGCATTGGTATTGTATATTAGTCCGCCTCAATTGTTGGCGACGGCCGTTTGTAAGAAGTTATCAATATGTTGTGTCCTAATTGATAACCGCAATATCCCCTGGCCATTTAACGCTCAATCAATAAAAAAGTCTAAACAAGAACGCGCAACAGAAAATGAAATGAGGGTGTATACCCAGCTATTTAGGTTGTCATGATGCGTCTGTGTATTTTTTAGGGAAAAAATAAAATAATAATCACCAAAAACATGATAATAATAAACCCTAACTAATAAAAACGCAATCAGCGGAACATATCGATGTCTCACGGACTAACTGAATTGCAGAGCTCATCCCAGTCAATCAGGAATTAATAAGTCAACTATGTTTTTTGCGCCCTGTGTTTCCTTCTTGTCACCCCCAGGATATGACAATTTACACCAACATATAATAAATATAAAAAACAACAAGATAATAGACCGGGGAAAAAACAATAGGAAACAATAATTCCACTACTGACAAACCGCACAGCTTCAGGGTATCAAATTATGTGTCCGTTTGTTCATCTATATGTCCGGACACATACAAATGTTTGGGCAGCATATCGTCTATGTCTTTTTGTGTGTTTGTGTCGTTTTTTATTGATCATCAGAGTCTATAATTCTTTAGTGCCTGTTGGTGTTGTTGTTGTTATACAGCACCTAATTGACAACTGGATTATTGTTACGCTTCTTTAATGTGATTATCCTTGTTTTGTTTGTCAGGGGAAAGGAACTGGGCAAATTTGTTGGTCAGAACTTTTGTATGGGTGTGTGTGTGTGTGTGTGTGTTTAGAATTTTTTTGTTTTTATAAAGACAAAAATATGTGGCCAATGTTTCTGGCCTCAGTTATGGTGCCAATTTTGGGATCACAATGACAAAACTTTTACATATGTTGTGTCGTCTTCGAAGTGCCCTTTGTCTTTGCCTTGGGGTCGGCCTGCTTTATATGGACACAAGTACTAAACCAAAAATCAAACAAAGCCTTAAGAGCAGAAATAAAACTTTGCGGAAATTCTGTTTATAGAGTTATGTGAAGTTAACGCATACGGACCCACACATGCCCCGAAGTGCAAAGAGAACACGAAAAAAGGACATGAAGCCAACAAAGAGGGCAATTCAGACCCTTCGATAACCCCCTTTCCACATTTGCACTCACACTCATCTAGTCATCTATCCTAAGTATACAAACAACGGATTTCGCAACGGCCATGAAACGAAAAGGGACGAATTGTTCGAGCATATCACACTAGATATTGGGTAAATTGTCCATTAATAAACATTGATTGGAATTTATAAGTTTGGCCAATATTTGTTTGCTACTATTTAGACCGGCAACAAACACCTTCAATTGTCGCCTTTATGTTATGATGACGATGTGGTGATAAGACTGGGTGGGTGTGTGTGGGTTTGTGGAAATGTTATGAATAAATTTCCACAGGATAAATTGGCTTAGGTTAATGGGCAGGGTAGAGGATTAAATCGATGGGCGAAGGGAGGTGCAGCAACTATTTGCTACGGCCTCCTGCACTCCTCCGTCACAAGTTTGCATCTCATTATCAGCAAGCAAAGCAAATCAATACAAGTATTTGCGGGGAATTAATTACTTGCACGCATATTGCAAATTTATTGTCAGACATTAAGCGAAAACACCAACTTGGTTCTGGGAGCATGTGTATTTAAGGATAAAGCGCGAATGCTGTGCTATAAATTGAGTCTAACCATGAAGCACGCCACTGCTGTGGCATGAGACTGAAAGACGCCCAACAACTATTTAGTAAATTCGAAATATCACATGTTTATGCCAGTTTTATGTAGAGGAAATTTCGTTCGTTCGTTGGTAATTGGCAATTTAGAGGTCAGGCCATAAGCGTATTAAGATAAAATTTATTGAATAATTTATTATGGGTTACATGGCAGACAGTCACTGCGTAACAGTTTCTATTGCTTTGTCGGCGATATCAATATATTTATATCTGTCATTGTAGTATCGACTAACTGAGTGGTGACGCTTTGTTTGGTTTGTTTTTTAGATTCAGATTCCACCGAAGGTGATGCCCCAGCCCAGGATATCCTTACATGTGGTGCCTGCCAGAAGGCTTTTGCCCTCTCCGACATAGTCAAATTTATACAACACAAGGTTCTACAATGTAACAAGGAAAACTATGGCCACTGTTCAAACCAAGGTATGTTATAAGAAATTGGAATATCTATTGATGAAGCATTTTTTTTTAATTCGTGTTGCGTTCCCTAGGTCCTTCGAATGATAGAGCCGACACCGAAGATGGCAGGCCGTTGGGTGTTGCTAATCGCAGACCTTCGGTATCAGCTCCTATTAATGCACGCAAAACATCGGGAGGATCCCGCATTCACACACCACCGCCAAGCCCAGCGGACATGTTAGCCGACGGTGCCTCAAGTACACCCAAAAGACTTGTAGATGGTAAGTAATTTTGCAAGAAGAAAAAAAAAAACATCTAAAAAGGATCCTACTAAATGTATTACCTTCCATTATACAGAAAATGACAATACCACACCCAAGGAGGCAACCCAAGAAGACACCAAAACCTCAAACTCAGCGACAGAAGAGCTACCGACCATTACCACATCCATCAAGCAGGAACTTGATCGTGATGAAAATGATACAGAAACAATTGAGTGTCACAATAGCAGCAATAATGATAACACTAACGATAATGTACGCGAAAACGACGATGATTGCCAGCCCAAGACCAAACGACCCAAAATTGAGTTCGTCGATGCTGAGTCCAATACGCTGCAAACAGGTAAGCATCGTATAATTGGAAATTGTGCAGAGGAAGGGAGGGCGCCGGGTTTTCTATTTGTAACTGTAATTTAATTAAAATTCCACAATGACCATTACCCACGCTTTGACACATGTTCCGATGGTTGGAGTCCACAGCCTTAAGGGCAATAGTAGCTCAGAATTTTATGTCTCCGTGAGCGGTTCGTGTGTCTAACGCATCATCATATTCGACGCTATGTTTTTACTTCGAACTGCATCACACATCATAGCTCCCCTAGAACAAAGTAATTTTTGACCAAAACAAAATCCTTTTGATAAAAACCATGAAAATAAACAACAGTCCGTCCATCAACAACATCAAAGTGAAAATGGAACTTTGCCTTATTGCCTCATAATCGTTGATGTCACCGGCAACAAAAGCCCAGCGATAAGCTGACATCAACATGCCTTTCACCACACAACCGTTCGTCCACTCATTCATTGTACATGCATTCGAATTTTTTGTGGAACATTCGCAAATAAAGCACATCGAAATGAAATTCTTGACAATGAACATAAAACATTTGCGGAATACAAATCTAAGCGAACATAAATAATAAATTTCAACCCTATCTTTGTGCTGACCATCTATATTAGGGGAGGCACAAGAATTCCATGACATCAAGGAGTGACCACTCGATCTGACGTGCCGTGGATGCTGTTCGTGTAGAAAGGTCATTTTGATAATATTTTGACACGCTACTCAATGACCTTTGACATTGTACACCTTTGTCTATGTTAACAATTGTTAAGTTAACTAAAAATCCATTAGAGAGGACTGGTCAAATAACTGGGTGTCATAGAACTTTGGTCAAACGGCAAATGAAAAAAAAAAACATGGAAATCTTTTAATTTTTTTTTGTTAAAAAAGGTAGACACGCTTACATCTTGTGTCGACATACGTCAGTGGGTCCGCACACAACTATTCGACTTAGAATATGTCACGTCAAACAGTCAATGTAACCGACTATTCTTGAAAAGGTTCTCAAAACTGAATACGTTAAATAATGGAAAATAAATTGCGCAAAATGATTCGTCATGAGTTCGAAAGAGTTTAGTGGACACGGTAGAGTCAGGGGGAAGCAGATAAAGGAAATAAGTGGACGGCAACAAGAGTCAACGGCATTCGCGTGTAGATGAGAAACAAAGGTTGTATTATGAAATTCTCACATAAAGGAGCGAATGAGAAGAGAAAGAGTGCGACCTATTGTTTTGAGTCCTTAGATTGTCATTACATTCTTGCTTGGCTGACCTTCAATTGAAGACACTTAAGAGTTGACTGGCTGACTGACTGTTAAATGAAACCACACACCATAGTAAGTTCTTAAAGAAGATCTCAGGCTATGGTGAGTTGTAATCGCCTCTTGCTTGGACGTTTGGTAGGACTGCTGCAGATGATGGTATTCATAGAACTTCTTCAAGCTGAATCACTCTCAGTTTTGATAAGAAAACCAAAGGTCCAGTACATGGGGTCCTTTTTGTGATGTGTGCTGATATTTGTTTCCATTGTTTCCATTGTTTGCTTGTATTATCTTTTCTTTAGTCATAGCTTAATTTTTTATATGCTCTTCTTGTGTAGTTGTCAAGTTTATGTTTGCCTTTTCATGCTTGCTCGATTATTTATGTATATATATATTTCAGACATTCACATGTTTCATTCAAATACTCCTTTCCGCCAAAAAAGAAAAAAAAACTCCCTCCCCCGCCATAGTAGAGGACATATGATGTCATTCCTCATTCATTGTTTTACTCAGAAATCAAACAATGATGACTGCAGCGTAATTACAATTCCATGTCAAGTAGCCAGGCAAAGTGACAATTGTCACTGTTAAATGCGATGAAGATCAGATCGCTTAAATGAATTGTGGTTTCAGATGTAATTATGTTATATATTATATGTATAAACATGTATTTTCCGACCCATATACTGGTCGTCAATTTGGCATCTCTAATTGTAATTCCTTGCTGTTTCATAACGTCCCTCACCTTTGTCGTGGACGTAATCCGCAGAATGTCATGCTTGTTTTATTGAAAAGTGAAGCGCACAAAAAAAAAACTGAAAATCGGATCTGATGAAAATATAAACGCACATGTGTGTATATGTGACCTGGGTATAAATATAATCAAAAAGGGTTTATCTGATAGCCGGGTGACAGGAGGGGTAGTCTGCTAAACACAAATAAATCCTGCTATAGATGGAGGGCGGCAGGTGAAAAGAGTAATCCTGATGAGTTTAGAATATCTGGCTATTCAGAAATGTTATTATTTTAGGAGGAGTGAACCTGGCGCGTATCGACTTTGACAGTATTAGGAGGGACATTGGGATACTTTAAAGGGATAAATAATATCCATTCACGTATAAATTCTTTGATTATGCAAGTTCACGTATTTACCGTCTTGGTTTGCCCTTATTGTACAGAAGTGTGTGTGTGTGTGTGTGTGTGTATGTGTGTGTTTGTAACACGTTTTCGTTGTAATGTCCTTTGTTGCCTGGAGTGAGAGGATTATTCACAAAAATGGAAAACGACGGCTCTGCGAAGCGAATGTTTGCTAGATTATGAAATGTTAAAAAATAGACAAAATCCTTACCGAAGATGTATGGATGAGTGAACGAACGAACGAAACTGCTGGTGAACAACAAGCCAAAGCAAAGAAAAAGTGAACAGACATTATTATCACATCATGAAGTGAAGGGTTTTGACAACATATCAGCGGGCGGCCAATTGTTTTGTTTACGGCTTTCTTGTCAAATGCGGTCACTTATCCCCTGTGAGGCGTATAAGTGGAATGGGGGAGTGCCACTCTGGACGCTCGCTGTTGTTTCGAAAGGGTTGCTGTTGATTTGCTTGCGTCGTCTTGAGCTGCCAAAAACAGCACAACTTTCTCGTCTCGTCTTCTTAAGCATTGTTTTGGCAAATAACTAGAAGTCTTCATTTCCATATGTATGTGAGCGTACATGTGAGCAGTAGTTCACATGTTAGAGGTCTCATTCAGATACTAGAAATACATTTTGCAATAGACGAAAGAATGGAAATAATCTCTCTGAGACTGACCTCCTACCGAGAGCCCCCAAAAAATAATTTCTGCTTGCATAATAATATGTCCTCAGTCCTGTGTAAATGCACCAGACCGTAAGTCGTCAGGATGTCGCTCATCTACTTCTAGTATATCGTATGCATGCAGTGAACTTCCTGTGCAGCGGTTATCAGGCAAATAATCGGCTCGTGCTAAGCATGCGACAAATTGCGCAGAGACCAACAGGGAGATCTTCCGTTGTTTATCTTTTCGCCGTAAATACAATTCAGTTTTTTTTTTTTGTGGAAAATTAAAAAAAGTAAAAGTGAGACATCTACACACGCCATTAGTTGGCCGTTTAACCCCTTCTGCCATTTCCATTCAACCCTTACCACTTATCCAGGTAGAGAGGACACCAACAAAGCAGGAAGTTGTTTCCAATTGTATTGTCTTTTGTTATTGTTTGCCCAGATCACTTCTAATTCGGCATCATTTGCATGTGTAGTCAGTCATAGAGGTCTCTCGATAGGAATTGTGATCTAGCAGCCATCCTTTTTATGGAAGACAATGCATCCACGAGCCACTAGGTAGAAATAAAAGAAAGACATTTAATTCAACTCCTTGCTAAGGTTATACGATATGCGAATGCCGGCTTTCGATGATATGTATGTATGGGTTCCTTCCTGTTTTGTTATGTGGCCGTTGCATCTTTTCACAGCTGTTCACGTAAGACTTGAGATAACATGTTTTTTGGAAACGCTTATAGGCACGTATATTTTAAATTGTAATATTGCAACCCCCTCCCTTCGGTTAAAAAATTGTTCAGGGGGTTGGTATTGTGGTTGGGTGGAAGAGCTGATTTGTTCTACGTGCGGTCGGTTACACGGCAAATTTATTTATTTTTTGTAACTGCTACAGTTTTTTTTTTTTAAATTGCGAATTTTTTCTTAATCGAACGGCAACAAATTTGCAATTTTTCATTTCGGGCAACATATGGCGATGCCATCAAATTAGAAGAATAAATACCCAGCCTCGTGGTTATTGCTTCGTTGGTCGTGATGATTTTGCCTTGATGACAGTTATATGGCTCTCAGCGTCTTATCCAGCGCATGCATGCCTTGCACGGACATTTGGGAGACACCACAATACATGAGGAACATCCCAACCATGGGATGTCACACATGGGACAAACATTGAAGGGATGTGTATTCATTTTGGCTCTTGCTTGTTGCCGTATTAGTATTGATTATTTAAAATATTTCTGTGTAGCATTCGATACGCTTAGACTATTTCGGTTTGCTTTAGTATCCGATGGCGGTCATTTGTATGCGTGGCGACGGCCAAAATCTTATGGTTTTCGATTTTTATAAACTGTCCTTCTTGTCAGCTCTAAAAAAGACAGTGCAAAGGCGGAAGGGAAGGGACCGGTCGGGTTAGGTCGGCTGTATTGTCGCTTTGGTGACAATTTTAGAATTGGCTACTGTAGCATAGCATTGGCTAGTACGTTTTGGAGAAAACGGAAATACGGGAAGTACTATAGCCATGTAGTACAGCGTTGCTCTAACTCCATGTCTTTCTGTGGGTTGAAAACCATTCCATCTATATGCGCGATAATTGTCTTGGATGTACTGAATGAGTCTTGCCAAGTCTAGATCACAAAAATCAAGGTGTGTTGCGTGACGTTTCTTTTGGCGAACTTCCACGCCATGGATATTCTCACATTCGGAGCCACATCGGCAAGAGGGGGTACTTACATCAATTGACGACGAACTGAACGAAGACGAGAACGTCGGCGACAACACACCAATGGCTGAACGTTCAGGCGACTTTAAATGGTATTGGGAATCTTTGTTGCGGCCCACACAGAGTGGAGCGTCGACCGTCCGCACCTAGGATTCATTCATAAAGCTTGCACTTCAGCTCGGCTCATGAACAACAGCAACAACACGGAGATATGTAATAACAATATAAAAATACTTAAGGTGGGGAGGGACCAACGAAGATGAACAGCAATTCAACAACAGTCGAAAGAGCAACCAATGCAGGCTGCATCAATATATGGCATGATTGCTATCCGACAATGATTCGCATCTTCATGGCTAAAGCGGCAAACATCGATTGTCGCGTGGTTATGCGTGTGTGTAGCTAGCTTTGTGAGTGCAGCAACGGATTGCGTTTTCGCACACTATTAATTATATTAATGAAATCGCACACAGAATTGTAGAGAGCTTAATTTAGGGATAGGTTGAGCAAGTAATTTACATAAAACAATGCAGATAGTCGTTCGGTCTGTGGGATGACAGGATTGCCTGTTGTTTATTTTTTGTCTCACATTTGAATCTCTAGCCAATTTCATCATTTCTTACACTCGAATCTTTTCTTAATTCCACTCTTTCGCTTGTTTTACTTCCAGAACCCAGCAATTACACATGTTCGACGTGTAAGACGAGATACAGTTCAGCCTGGCGTTTAATTCAACATGTACAATACTCGCATGGTGTCAAGATTTACGTGGAAACCCCTCTATTTGGGGATATTGTTCAGTCTCCCAGCGATGGTTCTTCTGGCGTTCAGCCACCGCAGAGCAACCTAAGTAATAATAGTTCAAACAAGAGCAATGCGAATGAGTCCACATGTACGGTATCACCCATCGTCAGTAACAGCAACAACAATCAACAACAACAGCAACAACAGATTCATCAGCAATTGCAACACAGAGCGGCTGCTGTAGCTGCTGCTGCCGCTGTGGCAGAACACCAAAAACAACAGCAACAACAACATCAACACCAATCAAATTTAACGGCTATGCAAAATGCCCAAAATTTGGCAGCAGCTGCTGCCGCTGGCATGCGTCATCATCCACTTTTGCCACCACCTGACATGCATGCCACAAATCCTTTCAACTTGCTGAGAATGCCTCTTCCACCTGGACTTGGCCAGGCACAAGTAGTTCCTGGAGTTACTCCACTTTTTTCACGCCCTCATGCCGATCATTATCGCATGGAACAACTAGTATCAGAGCAGTTCCGCCACCACGGTCTAAACTTAGCTGCGGCTGCAGTTGCTGCGGCCAACTCTTTGGCCACTCCTCATACCCCAACGCCACAGTTTAATCCAAACAATTCTGTGCCTTCGGGAGGAGCTGTAGAACCACGACCACCATCCTCCAATAGTAGTCATCGAGGTTCATCGACTCCGGCGGCCCTTCCCCTCATGCCCGGTCAGCAGAGTTCGAACTCAAGCATCCAGCCCAATAATCAAGTTAACATGGAACCCCAGATGGATTTTTACTCGCAGCGATTGCGTCAGCTTGCAGGAACAACGAGTCCTGGAGCTGGAAATATTGTTAACTCGAGCTCGCCGAGTCCACGACAAAAGCAATCGCCGCATTTCGCGAGCCCATCGCCTTCTCATCAACTTCCTCCCACTCCGGTCACAAATAATACTCGTCCACATTCCTTGACCCCTCCCGAAAAGAGTGAACCATTAACTGGAGAAAATGGGTCACTCATCAATAGTACACCCCGTTCAGCCTCAACACCTCCGACTAAGCCCAGTCAAGATTCATCAGTCAATGCGTCTGTATTCACATGTTCGTATTGTGATAAGAAATTCCGTTTCGAAAACAGCCTAATCATCCACCAGCGTACACACACTGGCGAGAAGCCATATAAGTGCACTGCATGTGAATTCGAGTGCTCACACATCCAAAAACTTATGAAGCACATGCGCGTGCACCGGAGTCCGGCGGAGGATGGACTCAGCAATGCTGAATCGGCAGACACAAATGAGGGGGACTCGGATGTCGACCAGGATCCTGAGGAAAATCTGGACGAAGACGCCATGGAAGAGGATGACGAGGAATTGGATGACCAGGAGCAGGATGAAATTGACTATGAAGCTGAAGATCTAAGTGTCAGCAACAACCGAATGGATTTAAAAAGTGAAAGTCCTAAAGGAGCATCTGGTGCCACATCGTTAGTTGGCGAACTAATGGACAAGTTTGGCTTGTCAAACATTGCACAATATTCGGAGGCATACAAGCAAGCTCTACAAGAATCCGGCAACTATAAGCACATTTCCAAGGATATTGACAATAACAATGCCACCAGCTCGCCAATGCACCAAATGAATGACAAAATTAATGGATTTCCCGCTGCATTGCGTTTGCGCGAAGAATTTGCCAAGAATATGTTCCAAAAGCCCACCCAACAAGAAGGGAACTCACAGTCGTCACAGGTTCCAATCTTCAATCCTTTCCAAAATCCATTTGAAATATCAAAACGGATAAAAATGGATGGCAATGACTGGTGGAATATGCAGGCGCTTCATCGCAATGAATCGCTGTTTGAAAATTTGAAGCTGAAACCACTAGGGCTGGGATCCGCTAATTCTTTATTAGCTCAGAATTCCCTAATGAAAAAGGAAAGCCGGCAACGCAATGACACATGCGAATTTTGTGGCAAAGTCTTCAAGAACTGTTCAAACCTCACTGTACACCGACGCAGTCACACCGGCGAGAAGCCTTACAAGTGTGAGCTTTGCTCTTATGCCTGTGCCCAAAGTTCAAAGCTGACACGCCACATGAAAACTCATGGCCGCATGGGCAAAGATGTGTATCGCTGTCGTTTCTGTGATATGCCGTTCAGTGTTCCTTCCACGCTGGAGAAACATATGCGCAAATGTGTAGTCAACCAGGGAAAGGTTGCCGCGGCCAATGCCGCCAACGCCGTTGCCGCAGCGCAGGCGGCGGCTGCCGTGCAACTGCAAAATCATTTGCCCAATGCTCAGCAACTATCTCCGCCGACAAACGCTTCCTTCCCACCGCAGTTCGGTCTAGGTCCCGGATCCATGTCCCTCCCCAGCAGTATAGGCGACAACGATTCGAACGCGTCGACAAGTCTATCGTCACAACACGCCATATCGCTGAAACACGAGGCATGACTTTATCGAAACTGGAACAACGCTACCAGTTGCTTCAATTCGCCCAATACAGTTCTTCCGCCACCGCCGCCCCACCAGCAGCAACAGCAAGAACAATCGCACCATCTACTGACGCATGCCCAGCATCATCACCATCAACGTCCTCTCCCGACTGTGAACCGAATATTATCACGTATCTTCTAAAGATAGGCTTCTAAAGATAACGTTGGGATGGCCCGTGTAAATAATAGTATATTGTCGCATATTGTGAATACGTCTATTACCACAAAACCCTGAGGTCTCTTTGAAAAAGAACGATCTTACCTGCGCGTTTGTACATATATGACTCGACCCACCACCGACTCCATCAGGACATCTAGTGTAAATGCACCGCCGGAGCGCCTCCACGTATACCAAAGCAATACATCCATCGTCTCACTCCATGTCTGTTGCGCTCTTCCGCCTAATGCAGAATTGGCTGCGTTAAAATGTTTGTCTTCTTCCCAGTCTCATTCTCTAACAAAAAAAAAGAAACCTAGCTAATATCCCCAGTGTAATTCAGTGAATTCGAATTAAGTAGTAATTGTAACTGTATCATATTTAAATTTAAATGAAACCTTAGACAAATCTAAATACTTTAAATCGAAAATGCTTTGTCTGCACTCCGTCATCGGTAAAGGGCATTGCAATACATTTTTAGCGTTTAATCCCCACGTGCGAACGATTATATGATCGCTTCGCATTTACCCTTCCACTTTCCTCAACTCCTCACATCCCCAACAAACTGCAGACGTGTAAATGTCTGATTTTCAAGATCTTGTTTTGTGATTCTCGTTATTATTGTTAGTTCGTTACTTTGTGTTGTTTATTGATTGATTGATTTATCTATTTTGTTTGAGATCACATTCTGTGTATGTTATTAGGGTACACACAGACATGTTTATGTCCTTGTTTATTAGATATGGAAAGGGAGTCAATTAGGCCGGCCGGAGGAGATCAACCACACGCATTTGCACCTTCGATTGTCCGTCAAATGAAATCACGCCTATTTTGCTTGTAATTATGATTGATTTCTTCGAACTGTCCTGTACCCCCGTCTCCCCTGTGGCCCACTTAAACTAAGCCTTTTGTAAACTAGTATTCTTTGCCTTTTTAGTTCATAATTGTGTTTACTTAAATTATTAATCTAATTGCTAATGTATATTTAGATGTACAAAGGAACCTGGAAGACATCGCATCTACCCCTATCCCTGTATACACCACAATATTGTATTGAATAATTGATTTAGAATAAACATATGCTCTTAATAATAATAATAATAATAACTATAAAAATAAAACAGTTTTTTGAAATCAAAAACCCAGTTGCAATTCTTCATTTCCCACTTCCCTATCTCGCCTAGTCTTCATACCATTCCGAGTTGCTGCTGTCTTCCATTGCTGAGAAATGCGGGGAGAGCAATACATAATGCTCCCCTCGCTATTCTTGCGACATCGATGAAAATATATTGTATATAGTCACATTGAAAAGTACCGGCCGGGAAATACAGACTATCCCATACGACTATCGCACACTGTAGTTCAGTGACAAGTCGCTTCTTCTCTAGCGCTGAAATCAAAACGAAGGGAATCATTTGAACATTTGTGCAAATATATTTAAATGTATGTACGTATTAATTAATATCATGATTATTATTTATTCCGTAATAAGTAAGTAGAAAATTAAGAGTTTCTTATATAACAAACAAAAAATAGAATCTGAAAAAGGAGGAAAACGTATATATGTATGTGTTAAAATTTCGTAAAATAAAAGACATAAGAAAATGAAAACAATAGAAAATATGAAGAATGTCCAAAATGTATGTGTTTTTTTGTTGTTGTTGTTGTGATAATGATTTTTTGTTCATCTCAAATTGGTACAGTTATACAAGGTACATGGAAGCTTCGGAATTACAATTAATATACCCTCGACTGTACTTCAATATATATTTCTTGTCCATCTTCGGCATTCACGTTATTTTTGATTGAATCGATATATTTTTTCGTACTTTGATGGCTTGGAAATCCGGAACACTTTATCTGCATTCTCCAACCGATTTAAGTTTCTTTTGACTAAGAGATGATTCACGAACCGAAATATAATAATTCTCAAGACTACTTTTGTATTGATCCATTATTTTAAAGTTATTAATCTCCTTTTTATATACAGCATAAATAGATTAAATAGGTTTTCTTAACAAGGCAGCTTGAGTTCGGCCATGCGCACTTCAAAAGGATGCAATACGTCAAGTCCAAAGCTTCAAATATACCAAAGTTTTTATGATTTGTATTAATCGTTTGTATTTTCAACATAACCTTTGAAATTCTCTACGCTCGAAGTATTTCGGAAATATACATAACCTGTGTGGTGGAAAAGTTTGACATAGTTAGTCGAATTCTAGGTAAGTTCTAACAAATAATGAAGTACAGAAACTTGGGCGTAGACGGATTCTACAAGGTTGACAATTTTTTTGCTCTATTTGTTAAAAATTAAGTCAATGCTTGTACTTAGCATACACCACTCGAGTCGTTATTTTTCTAATATTAGTAAGACTGTGCACTGTTGTTTATTCTCTTTTTATACCTTCAGCCATATAGCTAAAGAGGGTATATATCATTTGATACGGTCAAAATGTGCCTAGTCGAAATAACGGTTTTAGACCCTAGGTCTCTTTGGACCACATCCGTTGAGTTTAGAGTCGATCTAGCGTTGTCCGTCCGTCCGTCTGTCTCGTGCTAGGTCAGGTGCAAAAATGGATAATATCGGTCCACTCCATTAATTACCTCCCCCACAAGGAGTCAACATTTTGAATAATCACAACTCTCAACAATTAGATGTAAAAGTCCGATTGTCTACAAATTTTACACATCACAACATTTATATTAACCCAAGTTCTGGTGTTAAGATGGAATATATCGGTTCACTCCTTCAGGAACCTCCTCCACAAATGGTCGAAATTTTGTATATCCATTAAGCCCATAACACGCGAAATTACCATCCGATTCCATTCAGACTTGGACCATCTGAATATTTCCATCAACACCAGATCTTTTATAACGATGGTAGAGATCGGGCCATTTCTTCTGATACCTCCCCCATATAGGGTTCAAGATTTTGAAAAACAAATCGCTCAAAGAAAGCGAAATAAGCATCCAACTCTCTTCAAAGTTCACACATACAAACATTTTTGCTAATACAAGATATATTTTATATCTGCGAAACCCTTCTGGTAGCTCACTCACCAAGGGTCACATGTTTCAATACTTTTAACTGTCATAACTTGCTAAACAATTCATGATTCTTTATATCTCTCTTAACCAGGAATCTGAGATGAATATATAATTATGATTTCCCATAAAATTGGATATAAATGTTAGATTGTCTTGTAATTTTGGCCATATCAATATTTTTATATGTATTAATTCGGTCGGCTATATGGTACCTCACGCACATGTTAACATTTTCCAAAAATTATCCCATATATAATGTAAGGTGAAGGAAGTTACCAATAAACATGGCACGTCGCAATATTTATATCGTATTTATTTAGGTCCGTTACGAACCCACTCCATAGATGGTCAAAATATATTTAAATAATCGAACATTGGCTGAGGGTATAGATCTGTCGGCAAAACAGACTGATACTTTTTAACTTGTTTCTCAAGCGCACTAATATCTAGTTATTACATTATGGAATTAAACAATTAAACAAGTAAAAAAGCAGTAAGTTCGGCCGGGCCAAACTTTGAAACCCCTCCACCATTTGGAACAAATTAAGAAATTTTCAAAAATAAAATAAATAAATAAAATAAAATCCATTCAACATTCTGTTAAGATCTTAAAAACACCGAATATCGGAATGTGCCGATATATTGGGGGATATACGATATTGTGGAGCTATATAGACAATTCTCTTTCAGGGAATAAAGTAATCAAAAGAACTCCTTTCGTAGAATTTCAGACAATTCCATTGAAAAATGTGGCCAAAATCATCAAAATACAGAATATCGGGGGGTACAGCTGTATGGGGATATAAGATATCGTGGACCTATATAGATAATTCTCTTATAGGAGATACGTGTGAGTACGGAACATCTTGTGAGAATTTTCTGACAATTTCGTTGAAAAATGTGGCATAATCATCAAAATACCGAATATGGGGGTACCGTTGTATGGGGGATATACGATATCGTGGACCTATATAAATAATTCTCTGTCAGGGTATAAAGTACTCACAAAGAACTCCTTGCGTAGAATTTCAGACAATGCCATAGAAAAATGTGGCTAAAATCATCAAATTACCAAATATGGGAGGGGGGGTATCGTTATATGGGGCTACACGATATCGTGGTCCTATATAGATAATTCTATTCTAGTTGATAAATTACTCACAAAGAACTCCTTGTGTGTATTTTTAGACAATTCCCTTATAAAGTGTGGCTAAAATCATCAAAATACCGAATATTGGGGGTATCGTTAGATGGAGGCTATACGATATCGTGGGTCTATATAGACCATTCTCGTTCAGGGGATAAAGTCTCACAAGGTACTCCTTGTGTTGAATTTCAGATAATTCCATCGAAAAAATGTCGGGGGGGGTAACATTGTGGGCGATATAGCCCATCTTCGAACTTGACATGCCTGCAGACAAAAGACTAAATCGTCTTAGAATTTTACCCTGATCAAGAATATATATATATATATGTATATATATATATATATATAAATATATATATATATATATATATATATATATATATATATATATATATATATATATATATATATATATATATATATATATATATATATATATATATATATATATATATATATATATATATATATATATATATATATATATATATATATATATATATATATATATATATATCTATATCTATAAAGAGGAAAATGTTTGTATGTTTGTTTGTTTGTTTGTTTGTTTGTTTGTTTGTTTGTTTGTTTGTAATTTATGGACTCGAAAACCGCTGAATAGATTTTCCTGAAAATTTCCATATATACTGCAACATCGCCTGAAAGTAACATAGGCTATATACATTTTTGAATTTCCACTTGGAACTGGAGATATAGCATCAGAATCAGAGGTACCTCCCAAAAATTTAGATTTTATATGCACATATCTATTGATTGATTGAAGATACAGTCTCCAAATTTGGAACACGTAACGGAATTTGGAACAAAAATAAGTTTGCGAAATTATATTGTAATCGGTTCAGATTTGGATATAGCTCCCATATATATTTTCGACCGAATTCGTTCATTTGATGCCTCAAACACAATATGAATGTTCGATTCCAATGAAATTTGGAATGTGTTACGGGATTTGATCCGAAAATAAATTTGTCAAATTATATTGAAATCGGTTCAGATTTGGATATAGCTCCCATATACATTTTCGGCCGATTTCATGTATTTGGTGGACCAAACACGATATGTATTTCCAATTGTAATGAAATTTAAAATAAGTAACGGAATTGGGAGCCAAAATGAATTTGTCAAATTAAATTGAAATCGGTTCAGATTTGGATATAGCTCCCATATATATTTTCGACCGATTTCATGTATTTGATGCACCAAACACGCTATGTATCTCTAATTTCAATGAAATTTGGAATGTGTAGCGGAAATTAAAACAAATATACATTCGTCAAATTATATTAAAATCGGTTCAGATTTGGATATAGCTCTCATATATATTTTCGACCGATTTCATGTATTTTATGCACCATACACGATATGTATGTTCGATTCCAAAGAAATTCGGAATATGTAACGGGATTTTGATTAGAAAATAAATTAGTCAAATTATATTAAAATCGGTTCAGATTTGGATATAGCTCCCATATATATTTTCCGCCGATTTCACATATTTGATGCACAAAACACGATACGTATTTCCGATTCCAATGAAATTCGGCATGAGTGACTAAATTTGGTTCAAAAATAAATTTGACAAATTATATTCAAATACGCTCAGATTTGATTATAGCTCCCATATATATACTCAGCCGATTTCACATATTTGATGCACCCAAAGCGAGAGAGACAAAATCTGGCACCAGAAAAAATTGCCAAATTATATTGAGATCAGTTGAGGTTTGGGTATAGCTAACATATATATTTCGGCCATCATATGTATGACCGATACCAATGAAATTCAGAATGTGTGTCGGAATTTGGTTACAATAATAAATGTGACAAATTAATTGGAAATTAGTTAAGATTTGGATATAGCTCCCATGTATATATTCTCGGCCGATTTCACATATTTGACGCACCAATTTCAATGAAATATCAAAGGGATGGCGTATATAAAGGTACGACATGTTATGCACTAAACATGATATGTATGACCGATACCAATGAAATTCAGAATGTGTGTCGGAATTTGGTTACAATAATAAATGTGACAAATTAATTGGAAATTAGTTAAGATTTAGATATATAGCTCCCATGTATATATTCTCGGCCGATTTCACATATTTGACGCACCAATTTCAATGAAATATAAAAGGTACGGCGGAATTTGGTGTAAAAGTAATTTTTTTTAAAATTATATTTAAACCGGATCAGATTGGGATATTATTTAAATAAGAACCATTGACTCACAACGCCTTAGGCTAACACTAAAAAACAACACAACAATTGATTTGAAATACGCTTATTACGGCGAAGTATGTTGCTATCTCGAATTCACTAATTGCAATAGAAATGCCACTCAACTTCAAAAGATTGCAGTTTACTGCACGCTTGGTATTTGCTATGAAATAAATAAA